TTCTGGTAGTTCTTCTGGTAGTTCTGGTAGTTCTTCTTTAATACTGAACTTTATTCCACAGAAATTTCAAAAATTGCTGAAACAGTAGATGCTATAACAAAGGCCACCACTATGTAAGAAACCATCCTCTAATTGCAATCCTTCTCTCAAATCTCCCTGGCTGGGCAAGTACAGGCAGAGCAAGAGGAAATTCTGAGTATAGATCGTCCTTACCTTATGATCACAGTGGAGCCTAGAATTTTGGCTGTAAGTCATTGCAATCATAAGCTGAGGCACTACATGACTAGACATGATTTTTACAATTGTCCTACAGTGAATGTGGTCATTAAGTGAATCACATGGTTGAGCAAATCCAATATATCCAATGGGTTTTTTTTTTATATTAGAAACAGGAAAAAAAAACTTACAAATTGAGGGGTCCTTGGTGCTCTCTGAGCTTGGTTGTTTTCTTGCAGATGTTTCCTTACCCAAACTAGATAATATCATCAGCAGTGATATTATATATATATTCTTCTTTAAAGTCACAAATTGCAGTCACATGACTGTGAGATGCTGCAACCAGTCATAAATGCAAGTCAGTTGCCAAGTGCCCTAAATGCAATCATGTGACCATAGGGGCCAGGGTACAGCAGTTTTAACTCCGAGGATAGGTGGTAAGTAGCTTTTTTGAAGTCTGTTGTAACTTCAAAGCGTTGTTATGTGACTAGGTGTGAATCAAGGACTGCCTGTATCTATAGCTTTCCAAGTGCAAGCAAAGAAACTTGCACACACAGAACTGGAGCTCTCTTGAAACTTGCTTGGCACAGGCAGAACAGGAACATATTTGGGCAATGATCCTGCTCTGCATACATTAACCTCCCTACCAACTAGGACGACTTTCATATTTACTTATGACACCCCCCACCCCACCCCCAAGCAGTTATCACTGACAGCTTGAGAACCTGCAGCTTATATACCTGTACTTGAAAGGTAGATTACGATGTAATATTTACTGATTTCATCCTTATGGGAAAACCCAGTCTACAAACAGAAAGGTTTCTGTCCAGCAAGTTAACTTGTATCTGTATGAGTCTCCATGACAATAAATGTGCATTGTAGGAATTCATAGATACAATCCATAAAACAATGTAACAGTTTATAATGAGTAATAAACAGTATTACTTGTTTGAGATTAAATGCCAGTTAGAACATAAATATCTTCACCTTGTAACTGAATTATAATAGTGTTAATCCAGGCTTTATTTCTACAAAGGGGTGGTGGTGGTGGTAGTATTCAGTAGCCTGGGTACCACAACAAAAGGCTCAATTCTTTACTGAATAACAAATGCATAACTCTGGGGTTGGGCAGAAATATACTGCAACATGGCTTAATAATAGCTGCTGATATTCTATATTTTTCATTGGAAATTATGAGGAATCCCTTCCATAGAAGAATACCAAATATAAATTATACTTAACTTCATATTTGGAAAATTTATCTAATAACAGAATTTAATTTACTATAATCTTACGGATGGATTCATACTGTATTCTAATTAATTATAATTGTAAGAAAATGCTTGCATCCTGATCCCCACTTTCCCTATCAGAACTTTAGACCTGACCATGTGGTAAATTTCGCCTTGGCAGTTCTTTCATCAGACATGTTAGATCAATCTGTGTATATAATATTGTCTACATTACATAAATTATGCTCACAGTAGACTTGTGACAGGATTTTGTAGTAGCTGGATAAAAGGATGATAATGAAGATGATGACGATAGCTCCATTTTGTTATAAAATACAGTTATTTGCCAAGGTTCTATTTTACAGTCATTTAAGGTCATTCCATGATCTAGTATGATAATCATCTAAGTGCAATGCTTAAAGTAGCAATTTACTTTGTGGTAGTCATGGTTAGTTTTAAAATGGTTATACAGCAGATTAAAAATCTAAATAAATAAAATATTCTAATCGGGGGCTACTTGTCATCTCAAATTCAGCATTGTTTCCATTTCCTGAAACTGTACTATTATTTCTTACTTTTTATTAACCAAAAATATTTTTTCTCAGCCAAAAGAAACACATGCACATAGCTGGGCATATTGCTGAGCGTATGCTCCCTAGCAGGTATAATCTGACATTTATAAAAAGGAAGGAGAGAACATATGTGATTTTAATAAATAGGCCATTCCACAGGAAGTCATTTATTCATTTTGTTTTCTTGTTTTCTTTATTAGATTTATAGACTGTCAAAAGTGAAAGACTTTTGGTAGTTACAATAGCGATAGTTGTGCTGAACTCTTGTACTCCATGTCATGGTTCCGACAGATGAACTCTTTAAAAGAACTTTGAGGCATTGTTTACCTTAAAGAATCTTTTATTCAAGAAACAAAGTATTGGCACTACATAGTTGAAACCAGAAACTAAATCCCCCCATACAAAGTAACAAAGTGCAATTCCCTCCTCCAATAAACAGTCATAAATCACATTACCCAATTAGCTTGAAGCGCAGGCTTTCTCCCCAGCTCTCCAGCTCGCCAAAACACTACCAGCTCTGGGTCCAATGTCCTTGGGTTCCCACAACTAAGTTATTATTGTTATGACTAACTGGACTCTCATCCCTATTCTCCCTCCCAGCAGCAACTACTTCTAAAAGCAATAGAGAAAATGGCTGCATTTCCATTTGTTGTCAAAGCAAGAACATCCAATGTTAGCAGCATTGATACTCCATTTATTTAAGAGATAAAATACAGAGTATTGGGGTGTTTATATCTATTTGACATACCCCTTGAAAAGAATAATTCAGAGGCTTGTGAAGCAGTAGTGCAAGGAAACATTTTTATAAAAGTAAAAACTAATAGAGGATAAAAGCAACTATTGTTGAAAGCTAAAAACGTCTGTTCTGAATCAACACTTGAGCAATAGGCTTTTCAGCAATATTATATTTTTTCCAATATATAACAGAACAGATGGTAATTCAAAGAACTGTATCTATCCTGCTATTGTAAAATTATCAGAGTGTTGCTTAACCTGTCATTTGTGCTTTAATTTTATGATTTGGGGGATGGGTGGTGTTAAGTTGTCTCCGATTCTCAGAGACTGCCTGGATAAGTCCTTGCAGTTTTTTTGGCAAGGTTTTTCAGAAGTGGTTTGCCATTGTTTCCTTCCCAGGGCTGAGAGAAAGTGACTGAATCAAGGTCACCCAGGTGGTTTCATGCCCAAGGCAGGTCTAGAACTCATCGTATCTCAGTTTCTAGTCTGATCTTTAACCACTACACCAAAATTACTCTCATTTTATGATCACATCACCTTAAATTATATATCAACATTATATCCTCAGTTTAAACTTCTCTGAAACCTTATGCTGATTTTTTTAATTTTGATGTGTATGTGTATATATATATATTAGTGGATCAGAGGAATGCTGTGGATATCATTTACTTGGACTTCAGTAAGGCATTTGATAAAGTAGATCACAACCTACTACTTGATAAGATAGAAAAATGTGGGTTAGACAGCATCACCACCAGATGGATCCATAGCTGGCTGACCAACCGTACTCAGCGTGTGGTCCTCAATGGAACCATATTTACATGGAGGGAAGTGTTTAGTGGGGTGTCCCAGGGCTCTGTTCTGGGCCCAGTGCTCTTCAACATCTTCATCAATGATCTGGACGAGGGGATAGATGGGGAAATCATCAAATTTACAGATGACACCAAGCTGGCAGGAATAGCCAACACTCCAGAAGACAGGCTGAAGATACAGGAGGATCTGGACAGACTTGAACACTGGGCGCTATCTAACAAAATGAAATTCAATGGTGAAAAAAGTAAGGTTCTACATTCAGGCAAGAAAAACCGGAGGAGAACAGTGTGATTCATGGGGAGGAGAAGCACAGCTGCCTGTCCCGTGCAGCCGGTGGGGGAACGATCCCGCAAATATTCCTGTAAGAATGTCAGCTGATCGGATACAGGCGAGGCAGAGGGGGAGAACGCCGTGGCACACACGCAAGCCCACACATGGGGAGCCATTTGCTGGGCGCTGATGATGGAGTGAATCTGGGAGCGTTTTGGCAGTCACTCCAGCTGATCGAATACAGACGAGACAGTGGGATAGGATACTACTGTATGCACGCATGCCCAAGCGCAAAGGGAAACCGGAGGGAACAGGGCCGATAGGGATAAGCAGCAGAGGGCAAGAACAGAAGGTGGATGAACGGGAAAAAAAGGGGGAAGCAGCAACGGAAAGGCATCTACAATGCCAGACCCAGATGTGCGGTCCAGAATGATCACAAGGGGGGGGGGCGATCGGAAGATACACTGGAAGCAATAATATTAGGAAAGGATGGGAAGGATCGACAAGGATGGGAAGGATGGGGGGAAAAAACAATGGGAAGAAAGAAGGCTGTGAAATTGGAATGCAAACGAGGGGAGGCGGAACAACTGAGGCAATTACGGCCAGTTAGGACTGACAGCCCTATCACACGGTCAATGAGCAAGAAACTGAGTTAGCAAGGTTTATAAGAAAACTCCCCACCCCCTGACACTCACTCTGATGACGCTGGCTGTGGACCAGCGAAAGCTTGGTTTGTTTTTAGTATTGTAAATAGTTGTTTTTATTGTTTTAGTTTTTAACAATACACTGGTTTTAACAATACAGCTGGTTTATATCCTTCCCAGAGTTCAAGGATTTCCTATCATTGTACAGATATGCCTGGGATTCATATTTTTATAGTTATTAGGGGTGTGTGTGTGTATGTGTGTGTGTGCGCCCCCTAAATTTTTTTTGGGGGGGGGTTGCTAACAAAGAGTTAAAGGGGGGACTGAGATTTCTTCCTCCCATATTTGGGCTGACAGGGTGCATCCAAAAACACTCAAGACATACGTACATACATACATACATACACACATACATAAGCAATATACAATATAAAATATAGATTAAAAAATGTATCTACCTGTGGACTTCTAGTAGTCTTGACAGAGAAATAATTTGGTATTATCTTATTTATTTTCAGTGAGGATGAAATGGAAGAAGCAAATGGAAATAACCCTATTGACATTGAGGCTGAACAAAACAAGGAGACCAAAAAAGAGGTATTTTCCCTGATAATGCTTTAGTGCGTGAAGTACTGTGAACCTATTCTTTAAACCAGTGTTTCTCAGTCTCAGCATCTTGCTTACTGGAGAATTCTGGGATTTGAAATCCATACATTTGAAAAAAATCCATATTTTATTCCATGGATGAATTCTTTATGTAGCCTAATTTGGTGTACATATTTATACTTACTTCAGAAAAATCTCAGTTTAAGAGTATCTGTTGATTTGCTTCTCAGTGTTTTGGCTGAATGGGGAGGACTTACTCTCTTGTTTGTTTTTGATGTGCTATCGTTTCTTCCCATGCTTACTTAATCAGCATAAAATCATATAATATGGTGAAGGATGCAAAGAGAATAAGCAAATTAAATGCTTATCCTGATAAAATGGAAGCAATGTGCTATTTCAAGACTGATTGTTGATCTTGTTTTGGGTTCCCTTTAAATATCAGATGCCTGTTGTGAGCTTTTTAAACAAGATTTTGCCCCAGATATTCAGATAATAACAGTGACCATCAGCCTTCTTCACCTATCAACTACTTTTCATCTTGGATATATCAGTCGGCTCAAGTGGAAGAATCCATATGGCCAGAAATATTCTGAACAGTCATTTCAGGGTTTTTAAACTCTGAAAGCTGCATTGTAGCAGATCAGACAGATTGTTCTTCCAGTTTGGTATTGTGTGTTCTTATTGATAGTATCTCAGTATCATCATGTCATTATTATCTCTTTATTTTGCAATGAAAGGGATGAAGCAGGGACTTGCTACATGCAAAATAATATATTCCATCATTGTGACTAGTGCCTGCCTTAGCAATGTTGATTGCTTCTTTGCTTTTGGGCACAATTTGATATTTTAATCTTCAAGACCCAAAATGGCCATAGATCATAGTATTTTAGAAATTACCTCCTGAATGGAAATTTGTCTGGATACTTCATTCAGCAATCAAAGCCATACTGATTGTGCAGTTCCTTGTTCTCTGGATTCTTGGGTAATTTTTAGCACACAGTCAAAAATTGCTTTAAGGAAAGCCTAACACAGTGCTCATTTAGAAAGGATTATGTTGTTAGTGTTGCTTTAGTGTTTAAATATTGTAAGTTTGGTTGCCTGTTTATTATACAATTTTAAGTTACATTTTCTTGCAAGCCTCTATTTAATTTTAATTATTTAATTCAATTTAGAGACCACCTGAATCAGGGCAGGTCACAATATAACAAACTAAAAAAATATAAACAGATTTAGATGAGGTCTGGTAGCTCTGTACAGAAGAATAGAAATCTAACAAGAGGTTACAGCTATCTAGACCTAACAAGAGGTTACAGCTATTCAAGGTCTAACTTAATGCCAACAGGGTGGAAGCCAGATAGATTTCAGGGGAGGGGAACTTATTCAGGTGCAATTACAGAAAACACACACTTCCTAGGTTCCAGTAGATGCAGCATTTAATGAAGAAAACCCAAGTACTTCAAATCTGTCGGCAGAAACCATGGAGATTAGGTAATCAATCACATAATCTGACCCTATGCCTTGTAGAGCTTTATAGGTGATGACCAGCGCCTTGATCTGCACTCACAAGCATACTGGCAACTAGTACAATTTGCAAAGCATGGCTACCACATGGGCATACCAAGATATGCCTATCACTTTCCGCATCATTACATTCTGGACTAGTTGAAGCTTCTGAGTGATTTTCAAGCACTGTTACCTGGTTTTCAGCAGGAGTTCTGAGTCCGAAACAATACCCTCTTTCTGATTAGGCATCACTCTTGAATGGAAAATACCACCATGTCCACAAATATAGATGTAAATTCCATTGATTTGAGAAGCCTCAGTATTCACAACCTCTCAAAGAAAGAAAAAGGGCCACTCTAAAGTGGTGCCCCTATTTCCCAACTTCTGTAGCTGTTCCAGAAGGATACTGTGGTTGATGGCATTGAAGAATAGCCAACACTCCAGAAGATAGGCTTAGGATACAGGAGGATCTGGACAGACTTGAACACTGGGTGCTATCTAACAGAATGAAATTCAATGGTGAAAAAAGTAAGGTTCTACATTTAGGCAAGAAAAACCAAATGTACAGGTATAGTATAGGGGGTACCTTGCTCAACAGTAGTAACTATGAGAGGGACCTCGGAGTCCTAGTGAACAATCACTTAAATAAGAGCCAGCAGTGTGCTGCAGCTGCCAAAAAGGCCAACACAGTGCTGGGCTGCATTAACAGAGGGATAGAATCAAAATCACGTGAAGTGTTAATACCACTTTACAAGGCCTTGGTAAGGCCACACTCGGAATACTGCATCCAGTTTTGGTCATCACGATGTAAAAAATATGTTGAGACTCTAGAAAGAGTACAGAGAAGAGCAACAAAGATGATTAGGGGACTGGAGGCTAAAGAATATAAGGAAAGATTGCTGGAATTGGGTATGTCTAGTTTAATGAAGAGGGGTGACATGATAGTAGTATTCCAATATCTCAGGGGCTGCCACAAAGAAGAGGGAGTCAAGCTATTTTCCAAGGCGCCTGAAGGCAGGACAAGAAGCAACGGATGGAAACTAATCCAGGAGAGAAGCAACCTAGAACTAAGGAGAAACTTCCTGACAGTTAGAACAATTAACCAGTGGAACAACCTGCCTCCAGAAGTGGTGAATGCTCCAACACTGGAAGTTTTTAAGAAGAGACTGGACAGCCATTTGTCTGAAATGGTATAGGGTTTCCTGCCTGAGCAGGGGGTTGGACTAGATGACCTCCAAGGTCCCTTCCATTATTATTATTATTATATTATTATTACTACTACTACTATTATATTATTATTATTATTATTATTATTATTATTATTATTATTATTATTATTATGGATCATCGCACAGTCAGCCAGATGTTCAGACTGGATTTGGCATTTTGTCTACCTATCGAGTCCTTACCCAGGACCTGGGATAGGCAGATGTGGATGTTTGATGGTATTACAGATATCGTCGCAGGATGGAAGCAGTTCCTAGTAAGGCCGCCTTTTGCAATTGACTAATAGCGAATTTGTCAATGCCAATGGTGTTCAAGTGGTGCTCCAGTTGTTTTGGGATTGCACCCAAGGAGCCTATGACTATTGGTACTACCCTTGCTTGCTTTTGCCACAGTCTTTCTATTTCTATTTGTAGGTCTTTGTATTTTGTTATCTTCTCCAGTTCTTTCTCGTCTATTCTGCTGTCTCCAGGCACTGCCACGTCCACTATCCAGACTTTTTTGTCTTTCTTATCGACAATTGTTAAGTCTGGGGTGTTATGTTTCAGGTGCTTGTCTGTTTGAATTCTGAAGTCCCAGAGCAGTTTAATTTTATCATTTTCTATGACTTTCTCTATTTTATGATCCCACCAGTTTTTGCTTACAGGCAAATGATATTTTTTGCAGATCTTCCAATGCACCATTGTTGCTACTTTGTCATGCCGCTGCTTGTAATCAGTCTGTGCAATCTTCTTGCAACAGCTTACCAAGTGGTCCATTGTTTCTTCAGCTTCTTTGCATAGGCGGCACTTACTGTCTGTTGCTGTCTTCTCAATTTTGACTTTGTATGCATTTGTCCTTAAGGCTTGGTCTTGTGCAGCCAGAATTAGTCCCTCGGTCTCTTTCTTCAATTTATTATTATTATTATGGATCATCGCACAGTCAGCCAGATGTTCAGACTGGATTTGGCATTTTGTCTACCTATCGAGTCCTTACCCAGGACCTGGGATAGGTAGATGTGGATGTTTGATGGTATTACAGGTATCGTCGCAGGATTATTATTATTATTATTATTATTATTATTATTATTATTATTATTATTAAAAGATGGCTGAGCAATCAAGGATCACAAGAATGGATGCACTATTTCCATCCTAATTAATACACTACAGACCATAAACGTGCATGACTAAAGCTATCTTAGTACTGAATCCTGGCCTGAAACCTGACAAGTAAAGATCTAAGTAATCTGCTTCTTCCCGGGTTCTCTATATGTAGGTTGACCATCCAGAAGCCAGCCCTAAAAGCAAGGATTCTATGACCAACTTTATGACAAAATCCAGAAGCTCAGGCTAGGATACTGCTGGGCAGAGAAGGGCAGTATAGGTAGTTCTCTACCTGCAACAGTTTGTTTAGTGACCATTCAAAGTTACAGCGGCTCTGCAAAAAGTGATTTATGACCATTTTCCACACTTATGACCATTGCAACATCCCCATGGTCACGTGATCTGAATTCAGATACTTGGCAACTAGTTCATATTTATGATGGATGCAGTGTCCCGGGATCATATGATGAACCCCTTTTGCAACCATCTGACAAGCAAAGCCAGATTCACTTAACAACCGGGTCACTAACTCAAGAACTGCAGTGATTCACGTAACTACTGCGGCAAGAAAAGTCGTAAAATGGGACAAAAATTACTTAACAAATGTCTCACCTAGCAACATAAATTTTGGGCTCAATTGTGGCCATAAGTTGTGGATTACCTAGACATCAGCAGAAAATTCAACAGTTATATAGGGCTAAACCTCTGGCATATATCTTGTTTTATGTGAAAGTGAGAATCTGAGAGCCTCTGAGACTCTTGAATGATATAATCCTATCTTCCTTGGGATTTCAGTTGATACTGAGTTTAAAACCCAGATGAACACAGCTCCAAGAGGGGTATGCCCCCTTTTCTGAACTCAGCCAGGTCTCGGTGATACATAGCAAGTTGGAATTCTTATCTATGATAAGGTCATGAGTGAGGGAAAACTTGTTTCAGGTTGACCTGGCATTCAAAGTAGTTACAGCCCTGGGCCAGCAAAGATGTGACAGCTAGGTATAGAGGGTGAAAACCAGGAACTATATTGTGAAATCTCTTCCAAATATCACATCCAATGTCACTGAGTGCTGGATGGGAAGAAAATGAACATGATTTAAAATTGAAGAAAGATGCATCAATAATCTGTACTGTACTGATGACACTACTCTAATAGTTGAAAATGCAAATGATCTGCAAGGT